TGCTCTCCGTGGATATTTGACTTGCTACGTGAATCTCTGCTGGGCCATGGGTCAATTTATCGCCTCCGGTGCCCTTTACGGCTTGCTTAAGATCGAAAGCGACTGGTCTTACCGTATTGCCTATGCTCTACAGTGGATCTGGCCTGTTCCTCTCTTCCTTCTTATTATGTTTGCGCCAGAGTCCCCATGGTGGTTAGTACGAAACAATCGTGTGGACGATGCCTATAAATCTCTTGCCCGACTCGACACCAGAGGACGCGAATCACACCAGAGAACCCTAGCTCAAATCATGCATACCCTTGAGCTCGAGTCAAAGTTGGAGTCCGGATCTAGCTATCTTGACTGTTTCCGAGGCATCGACCGGCGCCGCACCGAAGTTGTCTGTATGAGCTTCGCCGGTCAAGTCCTGTCGGGCTCGGCCTTTGCCTACACGCCCACCTACTTCTTCGTCCAGGCGGGAATTAACACCGAAAATGCCTACCAAATCACGGTAGGGGGTACAGCGATATCCTTTGTCGGGACTATCATCTCGTGGTTCTTGCTGACCCGGTTTGGTCGACGGCAACTATACGTGACTGGCGTTGCCTGTTTGACCGGCTTCTTGTTGATCATCGGCACCACTGCTGCGGCATCGGAGTCCAGCAGCGCGAAATGGGGTCAAGCTGCTTTGTGTTTGGTATGGCTCTTCACCTATTCCGTCACGCTGGGTCCTGTTACCTACACTATTATCTCTGAGACGTCGTCCATTCATTTGAGGGCGAAATCAGTTTGCCTATCACGGAACGTCTACAATATCACCAATATCGTTGCTCAAGTCGTCGAACCTTATCTGATCAATCCTACTGAGGCTAATCTGAAGGGTAAGACGGCGTTCGTCTGGGCAGCGACCGCAGCGGTGACCACTATCTGGGCGTTCTTCCGACTGCCAGAATGCAGAGGCAGGACTTATGACGAGCTGGACGTGATGTTTCATCAGAAGGTGCCCGCCAGGAAGTTTGCTACGCATCAAGTCAACGCGCATGATGCGAATGCACTGAAGACGGGTTCTGCGGAAGGTGTTGTAGACAATAGTAGTAGCAAAGATTGAACGAAATGTATCGGAGCAGAAAGTAAATTCGACTGAAGAATAGTGGAATCAAACCTTATTTGAACTTATCAATTTATCATACATTTAAAACCAATGAATGATTATGAGAGATTTGTAGGTACCAACTAAAATGAAGTCCGTCGCCGCCTCCGAGCGGTGAGCCCAGTGACTTCTGCTCATCGCCGACACTTCCAAAGCTTCAGTTCGCGATTGTTTCTTATCTTTCTCATATCCCCCTCCTTCCTCGCTTTATTATTGGCAAAATTTTTCTTGGATTACATCTTTGCCTGCTACACATCTTTCTTACCGTATCTAAAACATTCCTTTTGATCCGCAAGTGACCCTCCCCCGCAATGGAGGTCGCCGGCGTACAACAGCCTCCCGCCTCCAACGGTGACCACGCCATGGATGCGTCAATGGATATCGACATGGACCTGGACCTTGGTCCATTGCCGGAAGCCGAAATGATCGAAACTGTGAGTATTAATGCATCCAAATTGCCCACCGTGCCTCATCTAACCCTCGTCGCGCGACTCAGGACCCAATGGGCGGAACAGTTCTGGATGGAGCCGTAGATCCCCAAAGCTCAGAAGCCCAGTACGAGAAAGTACATGTCAGAGGCGTCGACGAATTGACGACGGATAACATCAAACAATTTGCGACCGAGCACTTCACCCTCGAAGCGCCTTCCCGGGTCGAATGGATCGATGACACATCGGCAAATCTCATCTACTCGTCGCCTGAAATCGGTCTCCAGGCTTTGTCGGCTTTTACGCAAGCTAGTGAAGAGGAAGACACGTCTGAGTTACCGGCGCTGCGACTCCGATCCGCTAAGCTCCTCTCTTCCCACCCTGATTCCGTACTCCAGGTGAGATCGGCTGTGAAGACCGATCGCAAGAAGCCTCGCGCCCATGAAGCCAGTCGTTTCTACCTTATGCACCCTGAACACGATCCTCGCGAGCGCCTGCGACGTGAATTTGACGATAGACGACGTCAAGGTGGCGGAGACGAAGGGGATTACAGGCGGAGACGTTTCGACGGCCGGGAACTGCGGCGACGGAGGGATCGTGACGGAGATGAACTTATTAGCGCTAATATGTATGACGATTCGGGGGCAGCTAGCACGGATTATCCCGAGACAGGAAGAGGTCGCGATGAGCGAGGCCGGCGGCGGGACCGGGACCGGGAACTGTTCCCATCGGATGAAGGACGTCCTTCCGGGCGCCTTCAGAATCGCAGTGCTTCTCCGGGTCGAGATACGTTGATGGAGAGCGGGTATTCAGAGCATGACCGTCGCGACTCGCGCAGACACTTCCGTGAGAGATCGCCTCAGATCGATCGCCGGAATAAAGGGAAGGAACTCTTTCCGTCCTCAAAATCCTCCGGCGCCGATGCCGATGCCAACTCGCGAGAGCTATTCCCGAATAAACCAGCGACCAGTTATCTCAAGAAGGAGCTATTCCCTAGCAAGCACAGCAATCATCGTCGGTCGGATGCCATTGATGCTGCAGATGAGACGGCAGACCTGTTCTCGAAGAGAATCTCAGTCCCTCTTGTGGATGGTTCTCGGGATCAACGACGGAACAAAAACGTTGAGCTTTTCCCAGACTCGGAGGAGAGCGGCGTCAATATCCGTGGAGCAGCTGACCCAGACCAAGGCTTCTCGATTCGTGGCGCGGCAAATGGTCTCTCAATTAAAGGACGAGGCGCATCTGTTCGCGAGCTCTTCCCCTCTAAGTACAAATCCAACGCTGGCAAGGAGCTGTTCTCGGATAAGATAGAGGGACGGGGAGGCCCACGCCGGAGGGCGGAGGATATGTTCAGCTGAAAAAGCATATTAGAGATTGCACATCGGCGAGAAACGTGAATCTACACTCATTCAATATAATCGGGAATAAGGGGGGGCCTTTGAAAACCAGATAGAAAACGTGTCTAATGACGCCATCCAATTTGTGATACCATTTACTTTCCTCTTCTCTTTTTACTTTCTTTTATCATTTTCTGCGGCGTCTTCATATCTAAAATTCTGCATACTCGGTTTTTTTACGAACATGTATTATAGATTGGCTAGATTCTTGAAAACTCAATGTACCGTACATACGGAATGATATGATCCGAACCTCATAAGATAAAGCTATGGTTATCGATCCCGGTGTTTATCATGACTTTCCAACTACACCTTAACTTTAACCTCAGGAAAAATAAGCCGAAATGCCACCAACTTCCCAAAGCCCCCCGTTGGCGAGTATTCTGGTAGCCCGCTTTTTACGAACCAACAACTACGCCGAGACTCTTAATTCATTCATCCGTGAAGCAGGATTGCCCGCCGACGCGGGGCAAGTAACAGACAACCAAGAGGGAACCAATTGGACGATCGAGAGCGTACTCGAGGAGAAGAAAGCCTTTGACCAGACTCTGGGATTTGAACGGTACGGTGAAGACGAAAATGATGAATGGAGTGTTCCTGGTGAGTTACTTTGTTTTTTTCGTTACATAAATACATATATATATATATATTTTCTCAATACCTAGTCAAATAAAAGCCTAGCTAACAAGGCAAACAGCACCTTCCAACCCCAAGATCATAGAGACACCAACATCATCAAACATCCTCGCCTGCTCCGTCGATCCATGGAGACACTCAAACAGCAATGAGGACAACCAAGACACCACCTCATCTCGTCTCATAGCCACAGGCGCAGACAAACAACTCCATCTCTTCAAGACAGAAGCCGACAATGCCATCTTCAGCTCACTCCCCGGACTCTCCGAGTCCCCAATCCTTTCATACGTCTCTATCCGGAATGGAGAATACGTCTGTCTAACCAACATGTCAGGCCAGCTCCTCTTACAAAGGAACGCCGAGATCCTCGACAAAAGAAAAGACCACGCCAAATACGCCGTCAAAGTAGTCGCATTCGAAGAAGACGACGACAACGACTCCCCCCAAAGACCTATATGGGTAGCCACAGCCGGCTGGGACTCCAAGATCCATCTCTACCGTCTAGATATCCCAGACTCAGACTCAGACTCAGACTCCGTAGCCATCGGCGAGCCCATCGCATGCATCACTCTTGCCTCGAACCCGGAGTCATTGCTCTTCGTCCAACACCCCGATACAAAGGAACTACTTCTACTCGTCTCCCGGCGCGACTCAACCCATCTGTACTATTACCGGGTCCAACAACAACAGCAACAGCAACAGCTACAGCTACAGCAGGGCCCATCATCCACACCATACGAATGCACCCTCCTCGGCAAACAGAACCTGGCTCCCCATTCCAACGCCTGGATCGCTTTCTCCCCGTCCTGTCTCGCCCTCAGTCCCCATGACCCGGGCCTCTTGGCTGTCGCTACCTCGACCTTACCGCATATGAAGGTCATCATTGTGCGGCTTCTGTTCCCATCTACGGATAGCTTGGATGCTAGTGCGTCCGGCCCGCAGCCGGAGACACAGGCTACGCAGGCTTTTGCGGCGCTGTCACTTCAGAATCGCGAGGATGCTGCCATTGTGATCCAGGCGAATACGTTTGCGCCGCAGACCGCGTATTCGACGCCGCAGGTTGTCTGGAGACCGGATGGTTCGGGGGTTTGGGTTAATGGAGATGATGGGGTGATTCGGGGGGTGGAGGCGAGGACTGGAAAGGTCGTTACTGTGTTGAAGGAGGGACATGTGGTTGGGTCTAAGATTCGGACGATTTGGGCCGGTTGGGTGGATGCTTTGAGGGATGGGGAGGTTGTTAGGGAGGAGTGGTTGGTTAGTGGAGGGTTTGATAAGAGGTTGATTGTTTGGAAGGCTTGATTGTATTGGTTACTCCTACTTGAGTTTGCGTGGAGATATCAAGGTTGTCTATCATATCTGACGGTCCCGGTCAACGTCATTTGGGATCAGATAAGGGGGATAAAACACTTATGACAACATAAGAATGAATTGATAGAATATATATGGAGTGATTGCTATTCTGATCTACGAATGTAGCCCTCCGTCCATGCACCCTCTCGCCACAGAAGTAAAAGGGAGAGGGTGTTTGGTAATTGGAGGGCATGGAATCTTCTCTCGGCACGTTGAAAAAATCCTTCAGCAAGCGCGCATTAAGATAAGCACGAAGCTGTACACACATATGCCTGTTCATACGAACATTGAAAGCCCATCATCAGGGGGGCTGCAGAATTGCACAACCTACTGACCAAAACACACAGGAAGAACGGAAACAAGTGTCAGGCCCGTGTCGTGGAATCGAATCATATTGTCTTATTTAGCAACCGTTGCGCGGAACCAGCCAGAGGGTCTATCCGACAGGACGCCTGGGATCATGGCACGTGTGAAACACCAACTCAATGCGCTCCCATTTTTAATTCATTTCTAAATTAAGTTGATTTATGCGATCTCACGCTTGCCCTCCTTGCGCTCCTTCTGTAGCAGTTGTTAGTCGATCCTCTCTTTTATTTTATTGTTTATTTTTATCATTGTGTTTGGAGACAGGTCGCAGTTCGATGGTGTTGGGAGGGGAGATTTGTCAACGTACCAGAGCCTTCATGGTACCGTGAAGAGCGTGACGGTGGTTGCGGCGGAACTTGGGGTCAACACCCTTGAGGGAGGGGTAACGGTGAGTCTTAGGCTTCTTGATACTGTTGCGAGTCAAGTATGTCAGTGGCCTGCTCCTTATCGTTTCATTCCGTAGTGTCCATTATCGGAGGGGGTATTGGCTGAACATGTTGCATTGCTGGATCTGATCTCGATCATCCCGAGTTCGCCGTCGAAATAAACCGCCCACCACACCCAACAATACAACACATCGCGGCCATCCCACTCCGGTCGAAAGAAGTCGTGTTTCATGAGGGATAAGGATCGAATGGTACGCACCCGTTACGGTGAGCCTTCTGGCTGTTGTGGTGCTGAGACGCGTTCTTAGACTCTGTCAAAGGGAAGACGTCAGCGATTCCGAATGATGAAGTCCAAAGATCCCGTCATTTCGGGAAATAATCCAGGATCAAAATCTCCATATTCATTCAGTTGGAGAACCGGGGGATCACCACATACTGGCCATCTTGTCGGATTTGTCGCAACTGGGAGACGGTTGACGATGAGTTGGCGAGTGAGGTTACCCTGAACTGAAGCAGAAGGCGCAGAGACTCTCTCCGCCTTTAGGGCTCCCGTTTGTGGGATTTCGCTTACCGTCCGCGGCTTAGCGCCTTTTGATGCCTGGCGCTGCCTTATGTCCTTAGGTGTATATGTATCTACTTACCGTTTATTTAAACACAGCTACTGCTACGGAGGTTATAGACAGATTCTGAAGCCTTATATATATAAAGAGGTCATTTGGAAACACTATTAATATTCTCATAGAGGCAATACTATACAGTTCAAGACAACCTGAATGGGGGTCCTCTATGGGCATCTCTACTAAAGGTAATCAACATCGGCCCGTGACCGGATGACTAAAGAAATGCCATGCCAACTCTATTTGTTCACGTGATATCAAACTATGGTGGTTAGTTTAAGACTCATACTGCCTGTTAAGACCCATTCAATATCAGAGCAACGAATTGTTTGAAAGTACGTTGGCCTGAAACAATCCATAACTTCGAACCTCGAGACTGTGATGGTCTGAGTTGACTATTAGGTTCCCTATTAGAGCAAAATTGTATAGATTGCAGTCACGCGTCCGCACGTAACACAACATCACATAGAAAATATAAGAGAAAAAAATTCAGGGAAGAACGAACAATAGCAAATGGCTAGTAATTCATGTAGCCGACATTGTCTGTTGATGGTTGATAGGAAGAGTTGTAGAAAAGACTGGCTGGGAATTCGGAATGTCCGCCACGTGACCGGGCAAGAGCCGCTAGGGAACAACCGGCATCCGACTTCGACCTTTGCAACTCAAACACAGGTCCAAGAGGGATACTATCACCGTCGTCTCCTCCCCATCCATTGCAAGATGAGCTCTCTCCGCTTCGCTCGCTCTGCCCTCCGGGCCCGTCCCTCTGCCTTCCGCGTTCCTCTCCAGCGCAGAGGTTACGCCGAGGCCGTGAACGACAAGATCAAGCTTTCCCTGGCCCTTCCTCACCAGGTACGCTCGATCCCGTTGTTCCCTCTTTGCACACCTATATGTTACCTTAACTGACCATTTTCTACTTTATAGACTATCTTCAAGTCCACCGGCGTGTACGTTTGTTCCGAATCCCGACCTACCGAGAGTTGAGGGTCGGCCCTGCCTCGTTCATAGCCGTACTTACGATCTTTACCATTTAGTGTCCAGGTCAACATTCCCGCCGAGTCCGGAGAGATGGGTGTTCTCGCCAACCACGTTCCCTCCATTGAGCAGCTCAAGCCCGGTCTTGTTGAGGTCGTTGAGGAGGGTGGTGCTACCAAGAAGTTCTTCCGTACGTCCGACCGCCCATGTTAACATCGCGCCGCGAGCCAGGACTGGTCTATGCGACTACATCAATGCAATATTGAACAACGCTGACATGCATAACTCGTGCTCCTACAGTCTCCGGTGGATTCGCCGTTGTCCAGCCCGACTCCCAGTTGAGCATTAACGCTGTCGAGGGTTTCCCTCTTGAGGACTTCAGCTCCGACGTACGTCCCGAATCTCGACATGTATCCTGAGATACGTACTAACGAACCTTTTTTTTTCTCCGACACAGGCCGTCAAGAACCAGATCGCCGAGGCCCAGAAGATTGCCAGCGGCAGCGGCAGTGAGCAGGATATCGCTGAGGCTAAGATTGAGCTCGAGGTAAGTAGAATCCATGTTTCCTTGGTAGAAACGAAATGAGCGGTCAGCTAATATTTTGGTATAGGTGCTCGAGACCCTCCAGGCTCACCTCAAATAAATTACCTGATGTACATATCCACTCGCGATTCCAGCCTTGAACGTGTAGAACTATAACCAATTATTATTCTTTATTGACCTCTCAAACACGTGCTTCGATGGCATCTTTACTATTGTTTTGCCTGTTTAGGAAGCGTATTCTTTGCACTTTTCTGGGTTGCAGACTTTGCTGCACACTTTCCTTCCAACGCAGTTACGACTCCTGCACTTCATAATTTACGCACTTTTTTCTTCCCACCTTTACTGAACTATAGCTATGCATCATCTAATCAGAGCACTTGTTCTTACTCAATTTAGTCACCTATTCACCATAATATCTTTCCACTGACAGTATGTAGCACATATTAGCATAGACCATGTCAAATTCAACACACAGATACAATCGCATAAGGACCCAACACCACGTTCTCCGCTTCCAACACCTGCTTCAGGGCGCTCCGTTGACGGTGCGAGACATGTGCGAGCCCAAGGATTCAGTCAGCTCCTTTCGAAGCCCCTAAGAATGTGCCCAAAGGCCAAAGTGAAGCTGGTACAGAACCCAGACACCTCTTTCCCTCAGGATTCAAGCTCGGACGACGACACGACTTCCTGACTTACCCAAGTTTGAGTTGCTTTCTCATGCTATGTTACTCCTTATTCTGGGCGACAATCTTTTCTTTTAGTCTGTCTTATTAACCTTTCTTGGAGTTGCTTTCTCATGTTATTCTTTGTTCTGGGCGGTAATCATGTGGTTCAGCTTGTATTAATCCTTGTTTTAAGGTCATCCGAGAAGATGGTTCTCTTCCGAGATACTCAGGTCGGATATCACACGTGCCATACAGATAATACTTTTCTACAATAATAGTCATCGACTCCGTTGAAGTGTGAATACAGTTTAAAAGGCAACCGTGGTGTTAAAGGAATGACATGCACGGAACGAACCTATTAGAAAGCTAAGGTCCAATGTGAAGGTGAATACATAACAACAGATCATGACAGGGAAAGAAAAGCAACTGGTAGACAGATGAGAAAAGCCACAAAGATGTATAAAAGAAAAACGCCATGTACTGAATCCACATATCCCTCCCATCCAGAACCCATATCCATAGCCATATCCATTTCCTCGTCCTGTACTTGAGGTACGTACGTATATTTCGGCGTAGAATTTTCCTGTCCATGATTTTATATCTCTGTTCAGGGCCCGTTTGGTTATCATAAGCAGTGAAGAGTGTTTCTCTAACTCTTCTGACTTGTGGTACCTAGGGCTAAAAGAAGGACTAGACAGAATCAACGTTTGCATGCATCATTAAGTTGCCATTCCATCGTGTCGATATCAAGGGGTAGATCGTAAATAACATGAAGAACAAAAGAGAGAAACCACAACAGGGGCGAAGTATACGACATCGAAATCAAGTAAGCATCTATACATGTGAAGAGAGGTTCAAGGGGGAAAACAATTGCCCGCCGAAGACATGTCACATCCGTCAAGTGAATTCTACACTGTGTTGTCTTTCTTGTCGGGCGCGAGCTCGTTCCGCTCGTCTTCGTCGCCGATTGCTTGCGTAGTCTCCGCTTGCTTCTGTCCCGGTGAATGTACCAGGGGATGTGATGCTCCCTGGGCCATACGGCAGACTGGAAGGTGCATGTGGCGGGGGAGGGGGGGACATATGGCTCATGTTCTGGGGCGGGGGAATAGGTGGAGGAGGCACGCTCCCAGATGGGGCTGTGGACATTCCAGCTGCGGCGGCGGCGGCGGCAGCTTCCTGCTCTCGCTGGATTCGTTCGTGCTGTTGACGCTCTAATTCCTCAACGCGGCGCCACCGGTCGTAGTTACCTTCGTTGCCTGACAGGGAGCTTGCACTTCCGGCGCGACGACGAGAGTTTCTCCGTTCCCTACGTCTTGCTTCGCGACTTGCGGCTGCCTCTTCCTCGGTTAACCTTCTGAGCGTGACATGCCGGCCATCGTTGTGCATTTTGACTTTCACCGATACTGGAGGGGAGCTCGTCTGGTCATCTCTGTGTCTACTGCTGCTCCGGTGTCTGCTGCTGCTCCGGTGTCTACTGCTGCTTCGGCGGTGATGGCTGGAGGCAGCACCTAGGGCACTTCCAGCAGCTGCTCCTGCCGCAATATTGGAAGGATCAAGCCGAGAGGGAGCTTGACCTGGCATTTCCGAAGTGGGCGCACCTGGGGGTAAATCAGAATGATGCCCATCGATTGCCCCGGACATTGCCGGATCCCCAGTTAAAGCTGATTCTCCGTACGAGGGCCCCCGCGGAGGTCGTGTCAGCTCAGTAGATGAGATGTCAGTCGCGGTGAAGGAGTCGGCTCGTCTGCGGGGTGGGTACCCATCTCCAGTATAGCGTCGTTTGCTGTCGGCTCGTGCAAGCCTTTCCTCCTCTCTCTCCCGACGGCGCATATCTTCTACACGACGATCGTCATCATTTGCCTTGCGACGGGTAAACATGTTTTTGAGGGCTGCAAAGGCACCAGCACCAAATAGAGCATTTCGGGCCCGATGAGGTCGGTCATGGTCGTTATCAGAGAAGTAAGTTGAATTGTAGTAGTATGACGACCCGGGACTCTGAGGTCTACTCGGGGGTCGGCTGGGTGGGCGGTTGAGAGGGGTTCTGTGACTTGGTTCGGGCCGTCGTCCATCTTCCATCCTACTCATTGTAGTCTCCGTCATGCTGTCACTTCGGTTATGGGCGGGTCGATACCGGCCAGATTCGGCATCATTATCTCGGTTTCCTCTCCTGTCGAAGAATTTCTTAGCGAGGAAGGCACCACCGCCCGCGGCACCAAGCTTGAGCAGTTTATTGCCCCAGCCTTTACGCTGGGCTCCTTCATCTGAGTACTTTTCCGAAAGGTAAGACGTTTGAGAGTCCTCATAGCCATCCCTTCCCCTACTCCGAGAGCGACGCCTGAAGAGTGAAGCCAGGCCTGCTCCTGCGGCTCCCGCGGCAGCCATTCGTCCGAAACTGCTCTGGCGATGACCAGCAGGGCCGGGGCTAGGGGGCCCAGAGACATAGCTATGTCGACTGTCAAGGTCGGGTCCCGGTGGATATCCCTCATCATCATACAGGTACGACAGGACGAAAAACGTAACCAAGAGAGCAAAAGCGGCGACGGAATATAGTATGAATAACGACTTTGGCGAACCATAAAGGGTGAGTCCTAAGGGAATCTGGATAAGTCCTAGAATAGCAAGGGCTCGGCCAATCCATCGGTGGATCTGACGGATATGAAGTTAGCTCTCGAGATGAGTGTTGGGGCAATAATATTTTTCGTAACGTACTACCAATTTCAACGGTACTCGGTATCTTTGCCGCTTGCTTTCTACTTTATGAAGGAACCAGCCCCACATAACCTGAAAGACAACCATGACATAGATCGCCAGTCCAATTCCGTGGTGAGGGTTTGTTAGGCTCCTTTCCGGGCCGACTGCAAACCACCCGCAGACGAACACTACCGTGCTTAGCAGTAGAGTTAGGACCTGGAACCAGGCATGCAACTTGAATGCCACGAACGGATTCCATCGAGAGTAGTATCGAATGATCAATATAGATATTGGAACAAGACCTAGAAATACGATTGTCCCAATAACACCATGTACGACTATTAGGGTACGATAGTAGGGCATATCCTTGAATCGGTTTCCCATGCCTGACATCAATGTAAGAAAGAGAGCTTCCCAAGGTCAGAATTCCACTATACCATTGTATTGCATTGTGTCAAAATTGACCCCCATCAAGTTTGGCAAGAGGAATGTGTCACGCCCTGCGTCCCATGTCCCATCGCCGACATGCAGTGTATCCGAGGCATACGTGCTGCTCCCGGGAGCCGTAAGATCTGAGTTACCAGTCATGGTGTCCAGTAGTTTTGTATGTTCGGACTATATGCAAGTATGCTGTCTCAAATAGCGATCTTGCGACACTGGAATGCCGGAATAGATTCCCGAAGGAGATCTAATAGATCCCCCACACCAGAGAATGCACCATGCGCCAGTAAGAGATGTTGATTTGAGCACAATACGTCAGTGACCAGATGAATTGTAGGGAGCGATCGCAAAGAACACGATAAATCGAAGTGGTTTGCTCTGCTGAAGCTGATGATCAGATGTTTACCACCGTACGCGCTTCAGGATGGGGATGTAGATAGTAAGACGAAAGAAAGGCGGGGGAGGTAAGTGAGGATGGATGAGAAGTTGAACAACCGGGCCAAACAGCGATGAATCCTGAACAGTTAGATTCAAGTCCAAAACCAAATTAATTGACCAAACAGGGGAACCATACCAACCGCGGTTTCGATCTTGTCTGCCACGGTAGGGGAGATTGGAGGCTGGAATGTAGATGCATTTGGATTCTTCCAGCTCCGATCAACTGTTTTCCGTTTGGGGTTTAGCGGGCCAGCGCATATCCCGGACAACCAGCCGCTGACTCAGCCATCCTCAGCCATCCTCAGCCGCCGACCGCCTGCCATTTTGGGAAGTATCGCGTGCCGTCACGGGTGCCGTCACGGGTGCCGGGTCCTTCATATCTTATCAGTCGCTCCCCAATCGATGACGACTACTCCAAGTGCCATGAGTCCAGTCTCATAGTCATTTCTTCCTTTCTTTTTTTTTTTTTTTTAATAAGTTTTCGAGAAAACAACTGGCGGAGTCTTCATTTCCGGACTCTTCAATGAATTGGCGGAAAGATCCGACACGAAGCGAAACATCGATTACCTTACCTTGACCACTGGATTGATAAGCGACTACAAAGTTCGTGATAGCTCACACCCCGTTATCGCCGAGGCAAGGAGGTTCTGATCCTCTGGATTCCGGTCGCTTGGCGAAGTGAAGAGGCGGAATTTTGGCATTGGTCTTTCCTCTCGTTCATTTTACAAACTTCCAGCGTGTGCAAATCACACGGTTCCGAGATCATGTCGTCTCAACTAGAGATCTTCCTCAAGGCCCTTTCTCGGTATGTGCTGCGGACGTCGGCTACGGCCTTGGCGGGAGAATACCCCCGCTCTACTGACTCAGTGACACTGATACATTCTTTGGTACAGCCTCTTAGGATGGATATAGTACGTCTTCACCTTGTGCTAACGTTCGCTCTACCTTCTGAAATGGCTTGGACGACGTATTGAACGTACCCGAAAACTGACCCGCGAAGCACGCTATGTTGGTCCGCGTCCTTCTATCCTCAATTAATCTCCAACTTTCAGCGACGTTCGACAGTTGGATTAGCCATTGATTTCCCCACCATTAATACTTTGGGATATGTGTACTACACTGCGTATACGGCTGCCTTCCTATACTCTCCAGTGATTCGTCACCAATATGCCGCTCGTCATCCCGGGTCCGAAGGGTCTACCGTGCGATTTAATGACTTTGCTTTTGCGGTCCACGCTCTTATTCTCAGTGCCTTAACTTATACGCAGTTTTGGCCCGCGATCTGGGGATTTAAGGTTTCGCGCTTCCAACGAGTTAGTAAGCCAGTCGCAGGCTTGTTCTGGGGCTCTATCGTGGCCGTTGCTATTTTAATCTTTATCGTCCTTGGTAAAAGCCCCGATGGGGGCTATGATCCATCCACCTGGGGATGGATCGACGTGGTAAGCAGCCAGAAAAAAGTTCGATGTACCTGCTTATTGCTAACACACGACACTATCTATTTTAGGTATACGGTCTATCCCACGTAAAAGTACTGGTCACCGTCACCAAGTATGTGCCGCAGGCTTGGGTAAACTATAAGCGCAAATCCACTCAAGGGTGGCATATTGGTCAAATATTGCTGGACATAGCGGGCGGTGTCTTCTCCTTGGTCCAATTGTTTCTTGACTCGAGTTTCCAGGACGATTGGAGCGGCATCACGGGAAATCCTATCAAGCTCCTGCTGTCGAATATCTCGATCTTTTTTGATATTCTCTTCATGGTCCAGCATTACATTCTCTATAGGGACGCAGGTGATAAAGGAGCCAAGCACCAGGATCCAGATGTTACCACCCCTTTGTTGACCGAGTCCAACGGCGTACAGAGGACGGAAGATGTCTGAGAGGACTGTGGAGAGATGCTGTTAAAGCTGTGTAGTATTGGAAGGGATGATATATATTTCTTTTTTCTTTTTCTTTTTCTTTTTCTTTCTTTTTTTTCCATTTTTGGATTGCTTGATAGACTGTTGTTCTTCTGAGTTTGCCGCTTAACGGCGAGAGAATGTCTTCAAACTACGATGATAAGCGCCTGAGAACTGTACTAATCTCGGGTGAATGACATGAATAGACATGAATGTGATAGAAGCGAAGAAGTTTTTGGGGCAGAAAACGCTGTTTCAGTGACATGTCAGCTGAAACATCGGACTAGACTCGACCCGTTCCGTCCCAAGAAGGGTAGTAGTTTGTTGCACCGGCGCCTGTATAGAATGAGATGCAGAACCGACATTCTCGTCAACTGATGAACTACTAGTAGTTACCGTGACACCGCTCTTTTGCAGCTGTAGTGGCGCACCATTTGCTTATCCCTCCAATGGCGAGGGTGATGGCGCGTCTCCACAGGGGGAATCCACCAATACGAGAATTGGATCTATGCATATCTGTTGGAACCGCTGCAAGACCGGTGGGAATGAGGCTTATCCGCTAGGACCCGATGAGCGGTGGACATAACTGGATTCGGTCATGGTCATGGCGTCCAACGATTCGGCGGGACATTTTTTGGCTTTGAAGCCCCAGCCTTGCGCGGGGGGCCTGAGGATGCCAATTGCATATTGTTCCCCAATGCACAACTGCTGGCACAACCGCAAAAAGGTCCTCTATTTTCCATGGGCCGTGAAGACAAAGAGTCGGAGATCCCGACTTGGGTCAAGGACAAGTCCGGCGGGGCTGAGGCTCTTGACTTTTAACTTGCCTTCGCTTATAGATCCATGGACGAGCTTCCAAGGTACCTCCGAACACGGGATGACTTATGCAAGGTCTCTGCAACCATTCCAGCACCAGTCACAGCCCACAACCATGTAATGCATAGCTTGGGAATACTAGCGCGATGGCTCGAATGAGAAGTCCTAATCCAGTCAAGTCACAAAGACCATAACCGTGGTCTCGGCGTGAGTTTTTCAGCCCTACCAGGGAAAAAGCCAAAGTCGAAAGTGGGACAATTTTGGTTGCCAAAGAAGTAAGAACACACTAGTGGTCGGGTGGTTGTCGATCTCTAGCCTCTCTATCCGAGCGGGCCAATCAGCACAAGCCACAGCCAGTGTCAGTCTGAATTGGGGTTGGATCCTCAGGCCCTTATTGGCAACCCAACGGAATGAGATGCTAAGAATAATTTATTTCTCTTTCCTTCCCAAGAAAGTATATTGTTCTGTTATTTTATTGCGTATTTCTTTTTTGACGACTCCATACTACTGTGTACTGTCTTGTGTCCCTCCGGACTAGCTCGGACTCGCCCCCAGGGCCCCAGATCATCGCCAAACCGATCGAGTAGGAGTCCACACCTCCCCGCCTCTTCCCACATCTGTCTCTGATCCTCTCTCTCTCCCCAAGATGCCAATTGCTCATTCGTTCGCGGTATATGACCCAAGTCTAAGTTTAGGATCCTGAGGCGGTTCAAAATGTCTCTGATTATGATTATGATTATGATTATTGTTATTATTATTATTATTATTATTAATTCTATTATTTTTTCTTTTTTACTTCCTTCTGGCACGTGGACTCCAACCACAACAACAACTCGGAAATGGAGAAAGAAACCACAGTTTTCCCTCCTGGCGATCACCAAAAAAAATAATAAAAAAAAAAAGGACCGCCAACGAAGCATTGGATGTACCTCACAGCCTTCCGAGACACATATCTGGTCCAAAGTCTCTTGCAGACACGAACTCACCACTCATCTAGACCCTCCTCCAACTAAACCCGTTCGACTGTCAGCTCGCAAAAAAACCACTGCATAGCCACCACGTCTTACTCCCTCAAACGGTCTTCCCTACAACGTGGGGCCCCTGTTGATGTCACCAGCTGATATTATATATTTCTTCATCTTTCGGATCGGAGATAGACGTTGGAATCATCATCATCATTATTATTATTGTTATAATCCGGATGATTATTTATGATCTTTTTTTCCCCTTTCTTCTTTACTTCAATTCTTCTAATATCATTGCGTGCTTGCCATCTTTCTTACCGGGACTTGGATCTACATCTCGGATCTTGAAACTGAACTGTGATTCATATCTATATCTACTTCTACTCTAGATACACAGACACAGACACAGACACATCACTAGTTATTAGTCCAACTAGACCTCCACATCCATAACCCAATTGTCAATCTATCAAAATTCCTCAATTGCATGGGACCATGGACCCATCAACCACCTTCGATCTACCAGCGGGAGAATACCCAGCTATAGATATACAAACCGGCCTCGGCATCTCTATACTTCCCTCTAAACGTCAATCCGCATACACCCCAGAAGCCTGCTCCCCATACCCACCCCAACAACACCTCTACACCCCACCAACCCTCCAACACTACGTCCTCCCCGATATGTCTGATATGGCCGATCTAATCCCCTACACAATGGAACGGGTGCATCTCCGCGAACCGTCCGAACTGGAGAACAACATGTTGTACGCCCCATTCCGCCGCGCGGGGGACTTCTCCTCCACATCCTCCTCCTCCACCACTTCCTCGATACATTACTCAGCCTGCGACTCATTCGACAGCACCACAACCAACCACAACAACACAGGCAATCTCCACCCAAACGACTACTACCCAGGAGGAGGGCCATCAGAATACATGCACACCCCATCCTCAATATCCTCCTCTTCCCCTTACTACCCCCCGGACAACAACAGCACCACACCCACATACCCCCCTCTGTCTAGTCCAACATCCGCCACAGCAGCCGTAGTCTCCGCCTCTGCCTCATCATCACGCTCGCTCTCCATGCCCCCGCAAGGCTCTGCCAACCAAAAAGACCTCACGAACTTCGGCATCCAAAACGCAGACCAGACCTGGCGGTGTGCGTACCCGGGCTGCACATCGCAGACGATCTTTCGGCGGGGCTGCGATCTCCGGAAACATTATAATCGGCACCGGAAGCATCTGTTTTGTCGGCATCCGGGGTGTCCGCAGGCTATGGCGGGCGGGTTCTCGAGTAAGAAGGATCGGGATAGGCATGAGGCCAAACATAATCCGGTGGTGTGTTGTGAGTGGCCGGGTTGTGAGAGGATGTTTAGTCGGGTTGATAATATGAAGGATCATGTTAGGAGGATTCATCGGAGGAGGGAATAATCTCTCTTTCTCTCTTTTTTCTTTTCTTTTCTTTTCTTTTCTTTTTTTTTTGTTTGGTTTGTTGCTTATATTGGGTTTAATGATGGGTTGGAAGAGGGGTGGATATATGGATGAACCTGTACCAGTATTATTGGACGATTTTCCTTTTGTCGATGAAACGTGTATTTCTGTCAACTAGTTCAGCTGGCTATCACTTTTGACTCCTAGAATAGAGAATGGAGTCTCATGACTATTTCCGCGAAAAGACGCCGCTATTCCCTAGATGTGCTCGTAAGAAAAGAGATGGGAATAAAATCCATCTCTGAAACGCAAAATGAAGCATAGCGTATTTTTGGGAAGAAAGAAATAAAATAAAAAAAAATATGATTTAGAAAAAAGAAAAAAAGAAAAACCCTTCACTAGACGCCCAACCTCGATTCCTGATTCCTGTACAATCCCACGCTTCTTCATAAACGTAGCGTATATCCGGACATGAAACGAATGACAAACGATAAATGTGGCTCGTAACTCTAGACATCTGGTATCTCGAACAAGTAAATAACGGACAAGACAAAAAGGAGAATAGTATGAGAAATATGGCAGAGATTCATAATGCATGCACAGTGTACATCAAAAAGGTGGGGGGGATAGAAGGCAAAACATCGTGAAGATGACCGCGTCATTCTCGATAATAGTGAGAAAGCCATCTTCTCACAGGCAGAAGTCGATAAGTATGATGCGCATTTCATATAAGCATTTAATCAAGAGTTGATCCGACGGCGGCGACCTCGCGCGCTGCCTTCTGGTCTTTGCGAAAGGACCAGTCGGAGCTGGGGATCATCCTTGCTTTTGTCCACATGATGGACCCGCACATGCCTGATTCCGTCAGCATCTTCAACATCGTTGCGCATGGCAAACCAGGGGAAGCTTACCGCTGGAGATTGTCGGGTCGTGGATATTTATGTTGCTGGTCTGGACAGAACGGGCACACATAACCGGGGGAATTATGGACCAGGCCATGTCGTATCATCTCGTTTTTGCGTTTGAACCCTTTTCCGCCGATTCCGCGAGGACAGCCCTCAATGGGACAGAAATGGGGTCGGTCTTGCGAGTGAACGTTCGCATGGGAACTGTTCTGTATCAGCTTGAGCTCTGGAAAGCACTTCCACAGATAACTAGAATTCATATATGATGGCGAAGTGCTGAGACCTACTTCAATAGGTATTGAGTTTGAAAAGGCGGAGCGGTACACCCCGGGTGCCGACATTTGTAGGCTCCCGAGGTGACAACCCCATTGTGTTGCGGACTTGGATTGTATGGTGTCCGTTCACACGTCCCCGCTGGAGTTTGGTCCGTGGGTGTTGGATAACTCGTCGCAGGGCTTTTAGCTTCACAATGTGCGATGTCATAGGCGGATGTAATATAAGGTATGTCGGATTTCTGAGGTCTCCAGTACGAGCTTTGCGCTGCCGGAGATGACACGGCTGATAAGTCTTTGGTACTCGCAGGTGACAGATGCGAGTAAGGGCTAGGAGGGATCTGGGGAGGAACGAAATGGCCCGGTCGTTGATGCTCCCAGACAGGGTCACTCCTGAGTCCCGGTGGAGAACTAGCTGTGACAGGTGGTAGAGAATAGGGAGAGGAGCCATTGACGCGTACAGCGGGTTCATTGACATGAGCTATCCCACGTAGTGCAGTCTGAATGGGGGGCAGAGTGGTGGTATTGTCCGGTGAGTGGAACGGGGGTAACACATCCTGCGACTGATGTACGGAGATTGCATATTGACGTAAAGGCGGGCTGAACGGCTTCTTCTCCGTGATACTGGGAAGGGCAGGCGGGGGTGGTTGGGAAATCTTTGGAGACAAGATTTCCGTTTTCACGCCAGCGCGCGCGTCAGGAGAAGGAATGTGTGATTTCACTGGGATCTCTGGAGGCTCCAAGGGGTCATCACTGGGCTTTGGTAGATCTAACAGCGCAAGAGCGCGCTTAGCTGCTTCACTCGGATCCGTCTCTGATTGAGGCTCTCTAGGCTTTGCCGGCTCCACCACGGGGCTCTCCAGCTTTGGCTTCTCAGGCTTAATAATAGGCTTATCCAGTAGATCATCACAGAGGATGTCACGGAGGTGCTCTGGACGAAGTGGGTCAGATCTCTCATAATTGGCAATATCAGGTCGGTTAGGGTCTATATAGCTGATCAGCACCGAGTTGCCCTCGTTTGTTTCGGGCTTGTATAGGTTCGATTGAGGCTTACGGGAACCGTCCGGTGTTCCCTCGCCTGAAGAATATTTAAATTCGCCTTCGGGCTCCTTGGCCTCCTTGACTATAAAAGGAGGAGTCGGATCTTTGTGGGGCTTATAATCCGGCTTTGTCGCCTCCAGCCCGGGAGAACGACGGTCCTCATCGGGATCATATGATTCTGTCATGGAGGCGGCGGTTTTTGACGCATCAGGCGCGCCGCACCTTCTATAGTTTACTCTGGCCCTTTGAGATCACCGTTTGCTCTGAACCCGTTAAAACACCGGCTCAGAACCTGACTGCCCGCCCAGCGAATGTACAATAAAGGAAATAAACAATTGGGGTGCGCTTGGCCAACCGATTGATCCCCAGATATCCTGTTGCCTGTTAGTTCGCGCCCAGCAAAGTATTTTCAAACGGTATCAGACTAGAAGACGGAGATGAATCGCTGAACAGAAATCTGATAAGGATGTTGATGGATTATAACATGTGAAAACCATAGGAAGCAAAAACCCACACCCAAGTAAGAAAATAAACAAGGACAAATGGGGAGGGGGAAAAAAAAGAAAATAGCAATCCAACTACGGTTGCGGCGACTAATAAGATAAGTAATAACCCACTCCTGGAGACGTTGTGGGATCAATCAAGCTCCGATGTCAGAAAAGATGGAGACCCCATGAGTGCTACCATGTCGGGTAAACCACCTGATATTAGACCAATCACCACGGCATCGGTGGTGCGTGCAGGAGACCTCCTACTAACAGAGAATAGGAATGAGGTGCACTTTTGGTGCGTGGAGTCTTGATTTTTTTTCACCCTCAAGACGCCCCCGACTTTGCCGCTCTTACCGTGGACAGGGTAGATAAGGAAAAAAATAAACAAATAATCAAATAAGTGAAAAGAACAGGAACAGGGACAAGAGATAGCTCATTAAAGATGCAGAATAAGCTCACCTGAAAGAACTTAAGACACGGAGTACACGGCAGAATTCAGGCACCCGCCGGCTTTAAAGATGAGGCTCAATCGGAGACAATTTGCACGTCACGATTGAGGATACGGAGATGATGCGCCGTCCGCTTGAGATTGAGAACCGCAAATCTTAAGGAGTGGGTGGGGAGTAGGCGGACCAAATGGTGAGAGGGATAATGAGGATGGGACAATATCCAAGATTTGCGACGATCAAACTGGTGGTGATAATCTAGGCGACGACTCAAGTAGTAGCCGCCGGCTTCGAAACAAGTGGGGGGACGAAGAGGGAAAACAACAGTGGTTTATGGCACAGGCATAATAATCTCAGCGGCGGCGCCCGTGTGGGTTGCAATGATTGTCAGATGGACAAGCCAAGAGGAGGGAAATTGACAATAATAATAGTAATCCGAATAGGAATAATGATAAGAAGAAAAAGAAGGATAATAATAATGATCACAATAATAGTAATGGCATTAAGAGAGCATTACTATTATAATAAAATTATAATGATGGTCGAGAAACGGCTGGTGGAATGAAGCTAATAGTACTGGGAGCGGGAGTGACCGCCTGGCAAAAGGCTGGCTTTTTAGTTCGAAGCGGTCAGCGAGGGTAAAAACCCGAGAAGGGGGGGTCGTCGCAGAGAATAGAAGAAAAATAGAATAAATAAAATAAAAATAAGAAAGGGAACGAAAAAAAAAAAAAAAAAAAAAGGGAAATTAGACACAGTCAGGATGGATTCTTAGTTAAGTCAGCTAGGATTCTTCTCATTGAGGAGAAAAGGAATCTAAAGGAGATCCACTACCGGCCGAGCTGGAACCCGGGCCTTCAGTGGAGAACAAGCAACGAGCGAGACACCAGCAATGCACTGTCAGTCTGTCAACATTTGTCCACTTTCCGTCATTCGAACCTTTTAGACTGGATAGTCCAAGGGGTCCCCTTTCTCTGACGATTTCGGAATTGAATTCCAAGAAATAAATAGTAGAAATAGGTCGAAGCGGCCGGAGGGGGACGGCGGGCTGGAAGCTGACTCTAGACGCGCCAAAAAGAAAAAAGTGGGGGTGAGCACCAGGGGAGGAAATTCAGAGACCAGACAAGAGGTTAAGCTGAGTGACCTGAGACCAGACACCCGTTGAAGAATGAAAAAGTACTTCGTGGAGTATCAACGATCGTTCTTCAGATCCAGTACAATGGAAGATTCGGATTCAAGGGGAGTAAAGTAAAAATGAATAGTATTCAAAAAGAGAGAATTTCTAATCTGACCATATCCGTGCTTCTTTCTTTCTTTCTTTCTTTCTTTTTTCTTTTTTTTTTTTTTTTCCCTTGAATTTTCCCACTTTAATTCTCTCGGGCTCCTACTGACAATCGCCCTCTTCATGGCACGTCCACGAGGCCGAACCAGCCGCAGTTCCACATCGCACTAAACCTAAATAATCAAAACACTTTTTGAGGCTCTCCGCGGATGCACGGTGATTGGCGGGACCCGACGGTCAAAACGAGGAGGCTGAACTGTTCTCTGCATCGAACCGCCATGGAACCTTGGGCACTGCTTGTTGTCCCTCTGAAGAGGATTGACCCGGGGGGTGAGTCAAGCTGGAAAGCTAGATCGATGGTCACTGACCTCATCGCTGATGTGGCCATTCTTCGCCATAGCTAATCGCGTCTCATCTGTTTTCTTTTCTCTCTTATTTTTTTTTTTAATTTTTCTATTCCATCATATTTTAGTTTTCGTCATCCTTGTGTGTTACTACCGTCTACTATTGCCTTAGTCATCCCTCCCAAGAACACAATTTCTCCGATACGTCTTCCGCAATAGCCTAAGTCTTGAGGCGACAAGGCTGTTAACCTCCCTTGTTGGCTTGACCGCCACACAACCTTAGAACTACTTATTCCAGTTTAGTCTCCTGGGTCAACTAGTCATCAACCCTGACTCGACTGGATCAAAGCGTTTTGTGCGTCGGGGGAAAAAATAAACCCAAAATCCAAAAATCCAAATAAAAAGAGGAGAAGTAATCATAATCAATAATTAGGGGGTAAATGATTTAGAGGTAAAAAAAATGAAAAATTAAATAAATAATTAAAGAGAAAAAAAAAAAAAATCAGAACCAGGACTCAGGTTACCAAGGACCGAGTAAAAAGGGGCATGACCCTTGAGGGCTTTATTCTTAACCTGCGAATCCCCGAATCCCCGTGATCAGTGACCGACACAAAGCCCATTATCATCATTCTGAACGTTGGGTTGAGATCTCTTCGGATTATTATGATCAGGTCCCCTTTGTCCATGATATTATTCTTGTTCTGTTATTCTTAGTGCCTAGAAAATCTACTAGACTACTAGTAGGTAGTGTACGACTACACGGTAGCACCCTGGAACCGTAGACTGGGCCCCATCTGCCCGTTTGATTCTGATTGCAACCAGTCAGGATCCCGATATGAAATGGGGATGGGCACTGTTGCAGCAAATTTAGCGTAGTCCTGAAGAATCACGCGTGTTCGGTGTGAGGCTGTACGGAAACCAAGTTAGACTGAGGGTCAGAAGAAAGAGGGAGAGAGGGCGAGAGAGAGACGCAGCGAAAGGAGGGGAGCAATTTCGTGCTACGCCTGTCACTCTGCAGGAGATGATCGGACCAGAGATGTAGCCCCACGTTGAACCGGTCTCCACTTAGGATTGCACTACTTTCTGTAAGTTGCCAGTAGGAGTTATTCATGGGCTTGGGGTGACCAGAGAAGTCATTATGCATCGACAGTCCTACGTCGGTGGTGCACAATCAACCTTTTAGCGATCAAGTGGGCGTCGCTGACTCTCTCTCGTCTAGATGGATTCTAGCGCTAGTATAATAACAAGCATCAAGCCACGAATACGAATAGGTCCATAAAAGAAGGAATCGACCGAGTGAAGTATATCTTTCCCAGAGCGATGCGTGGTTGGATTCTCGATTCCTTTTATTTTGCCTCTTCCGATCTTTCATGTCCCATTGCGATTGCTCCGGATATCAATGATAAAGGTGGACGGAGGTTCAAAATTTTGGGGACTCTTTCGCAGATCTTTCTTCCCTCTGACTGATTGCAGATCCATCAATCAGCAGGATGCAGGACATGGTCAGGTTGTCTTTCTCTGTCCAACATTTTTACCCATGGATGCTCCGCCCTAATATTGGCAATTGGCCGAGAACCCCAAGCCCCTCTTTCAAAACTTCCAGCCTCTTGACATTCGATGCTGCCTAGACTCTTTGTTTTTGTCTTTTGTTTTTTATGTTTTATGTTTTATGTGTTATGTTTTCCTCTCCCAACGGCCACTATTGAATCTAGTGGCAAAAAGGGTTTAAATTCTAAACTGGATAAAGAAGTCAAACAAACTACAATCCTTCATTCCTTCCACTCCTCTTCTCGGGAGGTGGGGATCCATCATGATATCTCCCGGATACTACTCCGTTTTTGAACGGACACAGGAATCGGATGCCTGCACTACCGACAGGTAATATGACTGGAAACGGTGAAAAGAAAAAAGGTCTCACCCTCACTCATTCATTGATTTATTATTCTTTCTCTCTCGCAAGCACAAACGCGGCCCGCTCCGGGCCCCATTTTCATCTGAATGGATACAACCAACGAAAACTTACCAGGGTCACATCCCTTCCCCAACCATCTTAGTTTCAATATGCAAATTTAATTTATCAAGCATTCCTGACACACATAACATGATCCGTTATTGACATCATATGGGATGGTTTGTTTCCGGTAAGCACCGGGTCGATCATTTCTTTCATCTTCTTTCGCCTAGAGGTGAGGCGCCGTTTCGGGCCATCGAACGATGAGTCTGCAGGGATTCCTCGATCGGGGCATTTTTGTCAAGTGGGATGGTGTTCAACAGTGTGGGCCAATGGGTGAGATTGATCCTGGTCGCCGCAGAAAGGGGAGGGTCAAACCCCACTGCGATTATGGAGTCTTTGAGGCAATGAGAGGGAGAGAGGGAGAGAGGGAGAGAGGGAGAGAGGGAGAGAGGGACAAGAAGTTACCAAGAATTAGGTAGCCCTCGCTTGTCCGTCGATCACCTCCTCCCCCTCCCCCATATGACTATTCCTGAGGACCTGTTGCTGGCAGGCCATGTTCATTTAGGGTAGAATTGGATTTCCCAGCACGTACTGCTGTAGACTATTACCTTGATATATGTATGGGATGTGAATGTCGTGATGGTGGTGGTTGTTCTATGGTCTATTTCTCTGCCCGGAGTTGCCCGATGCTTTCTTTTCTTACCCGCCTTTTTATTTTTTATTTTTATTTAACCCTTACATGAGGCAACAAAGGAAAACAAAGCACATGAGCCGCACCCAATTATCATGGTCCAAGCGGCTCACTGCTGACATTGCGTTGGTGACCGTTCACTGGACCAACCAATCCCTTGGCGCATATACGAGTTCATCTTCCGAATTTCCGATCGTGAAAACAAATCTGCTTGACACCCTAATGCTTCCAAACGTAAGGATTTGTGTAAAAACCCGGCCAATTACGACGACAACTGCTTGGGCCTACGCCTGCCATTCCTGAAATAATACACTCTATTAGTCATCTACCTGAGCTTGCATTATCGTGCTTGCGTATGGGTTTCGGTATAGATCACAAACTATGAATATTCGACAGGCCCGTCATGCACCAATGACCAGCCCTCACTCCAGGAGGTCCCGCCAGCCATCCCCCTCTGCTTATCGCATGTACTTCGTTGGCCTACACGCCACAGGTCTACGAGCAGGGTCCACAGTAGATTCATTCTAGCGATCGGAGTAGATTGGATGGATAGCACAACAGCTACAGTTTGCCTTTTTGATGCATTGCGTTCTGGACGGCCTTGACCCGTTCCCAGGCGGCCAACGCGAACGGGGTAGTCTTTTTGGCATGCTCGTGCGCCTTGGCACTGCTGGCTTGTCTCAGTGCATACCGAGCCTTGACTCCTTGAAGGATAATCGAGAGCCTCCAGGCAAAGAAAGCGTCTCCCCAGGGGAGGTCCGGGGTCGGGTCCCATCCTCCCACTTCGTGATACCACCGCACGCAGTCTTCACGCCTGGGCAAACCAGGTATCCGTTCAGGTTGGAACTGGTCGGTTGTGTGGTCGGTGCCGTCGAGATAGTACGGACTTGTGAGGTTGCAGAAGTCCGATAGTGGATGCCCCACTGTAGCCATCTCCCAGTCCAGGATACCGATGACGCGGGGTTCAGTCTTATGGAAAATCATGTTGTCGATCTTGTAATCGCCATGGACTAGCGTGCCGCGATCCTTCGGCTGAGTAGCCTTATTCGAGAAGAAGCGCACCGTCTCCATAAAATGCGGAAGTTCCCCCACTGGCTCCTTGGTCTCAACATCAACCGCCTGAGACTGCGCTTTGGACACCGTTGAGAAGGTGGAGATCTGTCGATCATAGTACCCCGACGGCTTTCCGAAAGTTTCCAGTCCAACTGACTTGGGGTTGACTCGATGAAACTTAGCCAGGGTCTGCACCGCTGCCTTCCACCTGCAAGGTTCTTAGTAATCCGAACTCATCCTCGGATGACGCGTGATAATCAAACATACAATGCGTTTCTTTCCTCAGCACTAACTCCCGGCATGGCGGGATCGGTAAATAGCCGACCGTCCAAGAACTCCATGATATAGAACGGGGTCCCAATCACATTGCTATCCTCACAGAGACAGTATGCCTTTGGTACCGGGACGTCCGTCTGCTCTAGTGCATGGATGACCTTATATTCGCGTTCGACCTTGTGCGCGGTCTTGGACAGGAGCTTGCCGGGGGGCTTCTTGCGCAGGACGTACTGCCTTCCATTGGTGCCGGTCAGCAGATAAGTTGGATTAGACTGTCCGAACGAGAACTGTGGGGAGTCAGCTTGTGCCCATCAACCATACTCTATTTGGTCCCACTGTGCTTACCTGTTTCACATCTATTGGTGTCTGGATCTCAGGTACATTCTGATTGAGATACCGCTCTAGGGACGGAATATCAATTGGTTGGCGCACCGCTCCAGCCATGGCCAACTGTTTAGAGTAATTAAAACAAACAAAAGGGATTGATTTCTGGGAGGTACTAATAGTTATCTGCAAACTAGATGACTAGATCGCCGGGAAGTTAGCGGAATCATTCTGAAGACAGGAGGTCCGGCAATAAATGCAGGGGAGATCAATTGCGAATGTCCAGTTGAGCGTCGGTGACCACGGACCGAGGCTAAACAGCGATACTACCTCATTGGCATTGCGGGGCGTCGGTAACCTCCACTGGTGCTTGACCCCAAGTAAAATTTTCATTGATAGCAGGTACCAAAAACTTAACTTTGCACTATTTCTTCTACCAGATAGGCTATATCATTGGCTAGAATTTGTTTATATACGGTATCTTTTGTAAAAGTCCATACACCTATTCCTATCTCCAAAATTTTCAACCCTTTTCCCTCTGATTACCTATTCACACACCACCTAGGTTAAACTACTTAGTAAATGCAAACCACCCAAACACTATGCCCCCAACGCCAAGCCCATTAAACGCGCTACGCGTCTACACGCGCATAACCACATCGGCCTTGATCCACCACCACACACCGCAACGACCAAACCACCTCAACTACTTCAAAAACCTCTTTACAACCATGACCAAAGAGACCACTCCTCCCCCATCCGAACAACAACAAACAACGACAAGAGAACCCCCCTCCCTCCCGACCTCACCTCTCGCCAAGCGCCCCAAGCCCAACACCGAAGACCAGCCCCAAATGACCAACGATACCCCCGTTACCTCTATCTCGCAGCCTCTGCCCCCGCTGCTCATCAAGAAGCTGAACGAGGACGGTCGCGCCCCGACCCGTGGCTCCGCCTTCGCCGCCGGATATGATGTCTACGCTGCTAAGGAGACGGTTATTCCGGCTAGGGGGAAGGCGTTGGTCGATACGGGGATTGCTATTGCTGTGCCTGAGGGAACTTGTATGTTTCTTTCTTTTTTTCTTCTTCTATTTTATCTTGTTTCCGGGTTTATGATGGGGAATTGAATGAGATGGGCGAGTAGGAGAAGAATGTTATGAACGTTTGGCTAATCCATGATAAAAAAAAATATATAGACGGCCGCATCGCACCCCGCAGCGGACTCGCAGCGAAGCACTTCATTGATACCGGAGCTGGAGTCATTGATGCTGATTACCGTGGGGAGGTGAAGGTTCTCCTGTTCAACCACTCCGAGGTTGATTTCCCCGTCAAGGCTGGGGATCGGGTTGCTCAGCTTATTATTGAGAGAGTATGTTTTCTCTTCTTCTTCTTCTTCTTCTTCTTCTCCCCCCGCTTCCTTGGTTTTGGTTTATTATGAATTATGTGGGTGCTGTCTGGTTCGATTGCTGACTTGTAGTACTAGATTTATACCCCTGAGGTCATGGTTGTGGAGGAGTTGGAGGAGAGTGTGCGTGGTGCGGGTGGCTTTGGTAGCACTGGTACTAACTAATGATGATATGATAGGTTCTGTATGGGGTGGGTTTTCATATACATGGCGTTGGTTATATAGAAAAGAATTTGCATTTCTCTTATTACTCTATTATTCTCCCTTTTATCTTTGGGGTGCTGTTGGGGTGGTGTAGACTGGGACAGAGTATGTGATTTAATGAATTAAATCAATAGACTTCTAACGCCCATGGATAGGTTAGAGTATGTATGTATGTATGTGTGTATGTATGCTAGCCGTACATATTTATCATCTAGTTCTTATCTATCGTACGTTACATAGACAGCACAAGTAAAAGTTGATCTATTGGCTCCCCGCCGGTAAATCCTCTTTCCTCCACTCCTGTGCCTGAAAGACCATCGTCGGTTCACGAAGGTACTGCACATTCCTCACCAATCTCACCTCAGCCGCTTTACTCTTCCGCAAATGCTCCCGCTTCAGCCTCTCCTCCTCACTAAGCAGCTCATCGCCCCGGGTATCAGCCACCCGGAGCTCCGCATCGCGCGCCTCCATCGTCTTCTCGAGCACGCCGTGCATGCTCGCCAGAACCTGGACGGTCGCTCGCGCAAGAGGGAGATCCGTAGCCTCGACATCATCGGGGGACACCCAGGACTTTGTCGTGCGGAGTTGAGGGTCCGCAGCGAAGACAGCTTCCCGGAGTCGGGCGACGATGAGTGCGGCGAACATGTCGCCGGTGCCGCTGAAGTAGCAGTCCAGGGCTGGGACGTCGACGCGGAAGAGACGTGGGGAGCCATCCGAGCGGGTTGTGGAGCCGATGACTGTCAGGCTGTCTGGTGGGGTGGTTTGTGGAGAGGACGATTGGGTAAATTTGGACAGGTCGACAGAGGTGATGATTATGTGGGGGACGTTGTAGGTTGCGTGGATGGCAGTAATGGCTTCTGCTAGCGTGCTGAGGGAGGTAATTTTGAGTCCGGATAGGGTTCTACGAGGTATGAGTTACGCTCTGAGACAATACATTTTAGCCTGACTCACTCGGCTTCGAACTGATTGGGGAGAATCAGGTCCGCGTGGTGGATGATCCTCTTATAGGCCGGTACCACGTCATTGCTAACGTATAAGCGGCCCTGATCGCCCATTACTGGGTCCAGGACTATAGGTTGTTAGTGAGGACGCTAGATGTGCACCGTGGACCGTGCTCACCCCAGAAGAAAGAACCAGGGTTCTTTTCAGCCTTGCGCTGCAGGTCCATGCCGATAGCTCCTACAGCCTCGACGGCTGCGGCGCTGGGCGCATAGCCGGACAGCATGACGTCAAAGTCTGTTAGATGGCTCTGGCATAAGCCCTCATAGATTTCAGTAATCTGTTCGGCTGTTGCCCTCGTGCCTTTGAATTGCCTGTAGCCAGTGTGGTTGCCTGTTTGGAATCTTATCAGTTTAAGGCCTAGTAAGTAAGGGCGTGGGCAAATGACTCACTGAAATGGACGGTATTCAACGCGGCAACATCGCAGCCTAGTAGTTGCATGACAAGTGTTGCCATTTTGTTCCCGACATAACTAACCTCTCAGATTAGCAATCGAGTCATGATCGGTCCAAGTAGATCATTGCGGGGTGATGTCAAATCCGGAGAGTATTGGATCTCCAGATCTCAACAACGGAGACACCTACCCATAGACAACCTATCCGTAACGCATTAATCAGGCTGACCTTCTATGGGGATCATGGCCGCATTTGACAGGACGACTTACATGGCTTGCAATGGCAAGGACCCGAGTCTCGGGGACTAGAGGGTCTGCGGACATGATGAAAGAGTGGAGATGAAAGACTCCAAGGGGTTCGGTTGAAGTCAGGGAAACAGGCCGTCGATAGTAGCTGACAGGGGCTCCGCACAAGAGGATTCAACGATAGAGTATCATCATTCGTAAAGAGTCAGAAAGAAGTTCCCTGTCACTATCCATAAGTTTCTTAGTCAGTCGGATAGAGAAAGTGGGATGGATTTCCTGGGCCTTGATTGGCTGGTGCCTCCGGTTGTCGACTTCCATCCGATATGCTTATCGCCCCGATAAGACCATAGTTTTATCTGCCACATTGTATAAAACTATATGGTGCCTGGTAGTTGGACTCAACATCGCCTGTCGCCCGGATGTTTTCGCTTAAATGATATTGGTAAGTCCCTGTAGCTTCTTTAGACCCGAGAAGCTAGACTAACTGTGTGCAGTGCAAAATGAAAGTCTCCTATCTATATCACAGTTTACCATGGATCCTTCTATGTGGGCTGATCTTGTTTTAGTACGTCGGATGCGTTTAGATATATGTGAAATTTTGATAAATGAGAGCAACAGATCTTAACCATAGCTGCTAGTAAGGTCACTCTTTGTGTGCCCAATCCCTTGTTCTAATTTTTAAGTAGCCCTTGACGCAGGCATGGCGTTAGTGGCCTTTGACACTTGTGCTTCTTGAAAGGGCAGAATGCGACGTCTACCTTGTTGCTACGCCTGGTAGCCCGCTAATTCACCCTCTTCTTTGGAATTCCATCATTCCCTACGTACAGAATGTGGCTCTCATTCAAGAACTGCTTCAGCGGAATGTAGAGCCGTAGTACGCCACGACCACCTTTGGTGAAGGAGCGATACACTTGGCCAGCCGCTTCACAGAATATGGTCTGTCTGGGACCATTCCCGACGGGCATCTACTGAAGTATGCATTGTTCTTCTGCTTTGGGCGGTTATGACCTAATTCAGTTGAATGCTATAGAGGATAGTACTTCCACTTATGCGCTGGGTTCTCGTAAGTTCTGGTTCGAATGGTGTGCGGCTTGAAGGAAATGCGTGTGGCAGACATTGAAAGTGTACTGAAGCAGGATATCCCTCTAAGCTCCTTCATTGTGAGGGAGACGGGACCGATAACCGTATGCCAAGTGGCAAGCAACTCTTGAACGAAGGTACTCCGAACTAGACGGAGAGGTAGGTAACTGCAGTCATAAGGAGGAACTGAAACAAACAGTACACCGAGCTCTTTTGCTTTAACCGTCCACGATTGCCTCTGCTGGGAGAACTCCTTTCCTTGGAATGTTCTGCACCGCTGTAAAGAATATGGCCTGTTGTGTAGCGATCTTAGCCGTTGGAAACGAGATACGTATGACATTTGCCGCGGAGCGCGGCCACAGGGTTTTTTTTTTTTTTTTTTTTTTTTTCAAAAGCGGTTGCATTGTTGGTGAGGCTTCAGGAACCGGATATGTTCGAAACAAGAAAACTGTACTGCATTTTCTATATAATTCCTCGTATTGGTCAGCATGAAAAATTGTTGTAACTTGGTGGATCGGAACTGTATAACAACCACCCTTACCCAAATACAGTTGAGGGTAATCACCTAAAATGGTAACTCTGGGCCGAACCATCGCAACCGAGTAGCTGGTTGTTTCGCGTGCCTGCTGTTCCACCCGATCTGGTCTCCGCTCTTCTCCACTCTCACTCGGTTCAGTGTTGTAGACTGGTACACCGACCGGAACGGGACCTCGCACGGCATGGTATAGAAGTGGGGATTCACCTCCTGCATGTAGTCTGTTTGATCAACGTGGAGATGGTCATGTAACCGAGCATGGATGGAGGGGCTCCAAACGCTCTGGTAACCTGGTGGTCCTAATCGATCGGATGTCGGACTGGACCCGACCAAAACTTTTCCCTGCTGCCATGGATGCATCGGACAACCGCCCAATGGACGCTCTTTTTCTAATTTGAGATGAATGAACTGTGGAGCATGGCTGGTTTGGTCCAGGAGAAACAAAGGAATGAGGATACTAGTATAGAGATGCAGATCCGGCAATGATAGGATAGGGATGAGAACTGCACCGTGCCCGGAGTGTATTTGGTGGAGAACGGCACAGACGGAGAATGAAATGCGTCCGTGGCTGTTGTTGTTGTTGTTGTTGTTGACCAAGTATGAATGAGTTGGAAACTTGGCACGTCCTGCAAGGATTCCCTTTTGCTTTTTCTTTTTCCTTGTCAAGTCTAGAATCAGGCAGGTAAGGCACAGAGCATACCGTGACTTTAGTAACCCTGACATGATCGATGTGACAACTCAGTATCTGGAATGCAAGAAATTGAGTTCGACTTTTCTGAATTTTTGGTTCTCTTTTGACTCTTTTCTTGATTTTATAACTTTTATTTTGGTTTCTTTTTTTTTTTTTCCCCAATTTTTTCACCTACTTAATTTTTTCATGTATGTACCTAATCTAATGTAAATTTAAGTAATAGGGCAACGGGGAGCACCCAATGACGGAAGCCGTAGGCTACTAAGAATAAACCCCCGTCTAGTGTCGGGTCCAGAACCATTCTTTTCCTGTGCCTTTATTCTTGAGATTCCCCTTTTCTCCTGGTCGGCACTTTTTACCTGTCAAGTCGGTGTTGTTTTAATAACCGTAATTAATTATAAGTCTGGGGGGCGGGAGCACGAGTGGATTTTTACTTGATAGTTCTCTCTTTAAACCTCATCTTCTTCTCTGCAACACCACCACTACTCCTACTTGGCTTCCTCACTCCCAACCACCAGATGTGTGGCCAGGTACCGTGGTGATCGTTCTTACCATGCCCCTTTCATAATAATAATAATCTCACCTTTCGTCTCTCTTTTTCTGTTTTTTACCGACACTCCTTTACATGCCCTTTTTGCGGCAAGCCATTCGTTTACAACATCTGCCATCGCAATGAAATCCCGATTGAGTGCCATTGTCCGAGCGTCAGAAAGCCGAACTATGCAGATTAGCAACCTGCCTCCTCGCCGACGGACTCAATTGCCCAGTCTTCGCCAATTATTACTGACCGTCATTGCGGTCCCATCCGTTGTCGCATCCGTGATCCCATCCGCCATCCGGACAGATCTAGATTCCACCAACGCTCTCGATCTCCCGCTTAGCGGAGGGATCGTCAGCGACGATCTTCAAGATGTATCTGCTTCTCCACTCAAGGAACGTGCGGCATGGGACCCTGTTCAACTCGACAGCAGCCCTGAAGAAGATGCAGCTTACTCGCCCATCCTCCTAGCACCTGAGGAAGAGAACGAGCAGACCAACGACGACAACAGCTCAAAACCAGTATTATCCCAAAGATCGACAAGCAGCAGTAGCAGCAGTAGCGACACCCCAACACCATTTGACACCAACCTCTCGACGAACTTCACCTCAGACAGCTGTCCGAAATTCTTCAAAAAGTTCCTCTCGGACTCCAAATTCGTCAACTGCTACGCCGTCTCTATGCTCCTGCGGGACTCCAGCTCCTTCTTCCAGACGCTCAAGTCCGCCCCAGCAACCTCTCACCTCCTGGATCTCTCCTGCGCCGCCGACGTAGACCAATGCTCGTCCCTCATGTCCGACCTCGCGTCGCGCATCACCAAATCCGACGCCTGCGGCAAGGACTACGAACTCGGTAACCCAGTCGTGACAGACGCCTACACGGATATGATTATCTACGAGCCCATGTACCGCGCCTCGTGTCTGAAGAACCCCGGCACAGGCGACTACTGCTTCGTCGACGCCGCTACCAACAGCTCAAACCCTTCCGACTACGATGTCTACTTCATCCCCTACGGCAGCGCAATCTCGAACGCCCCCTATCCCACCTGCAACAAATGCGTCCAGGCCTCCATGGATATCTTCGGCGAATGGGCGCAGAAAAGTGGCCAGCCGCTTGCCCATTCATATCTCCCTTCTGCGAAATCGATTAATTCTAAGTGTGGGGTTAGCTTTGCGAATGCAAATATCACCGTTGCGGGGGACGGTGAATCGTCGTCGGCGGCGACGTGGTCGGTGCGTCGTCCGGATGGGTTTCTAACGGCGTGGTTTGTTGCTTTGAGTGTTGGGGTGAGTCTTTGGGGGTTGGTTTAGGTGATCCCACCCCGTTTTCTCTGGCTCGTTCTTCTTTTCCCTTTCGCTCCTTATTCGATCCTTTTGAGCTGTAGAGAATTGTATATTCCTCTT